TAGAGGTTTTTATCAGCAGAGGTCATTCCCTACTCATAACTTAGATCCCCACTTGTCTGACAAAAACAATAATCCGTACAGTTTTGAGGAAAATGTTTATCTATCGCGACACCCGGCCATAAATATCGCGCTTACCGAAATAAAACAGTGGAAACAGATAAAAAGCTAAACGGCTGTTGGCGACTGTACGAGACAGTGGTGCGGACATTTTGACAAATGTTCTTATACAACAACGTGCCGGTACTTTTTATTGCACCTTCGATCGGTTTAATGTTACGTTAATCTGATAATAGAATCTCATTAAAAAATAATAAATGTGTTGCGATTACGAATGCAAATAGCTCAAGCTAAGAAATAAAATTAAAATTGATGATAACGTTCATCAGGTGCAGCAATTAATTAATTAATTATTAATTGTATTTATTCATAATACTAAGCAACTAAATTCAACATCTACAGAGGAACTAATGACAAGGCAAAAACTCAATCATATTTGAGGCATTATCGACACCCGTCTCATAACGACATCACTGAAATATAACATACGTTGGTTTGATAACGACACATCTTATCTACTAGACATTATTTCATACACATCTATCGGAAAGCCATTTGAACTGTGTCTGATTTTATTCTAGGCAATTTATTTTCAATAAAGAACTATAAAAAGACTTATCTAAATCGTTCGACGCCGACTGGTAGGGGAGCAACTGTCATAAAAGTCGATTCTTATTTACGTCGTATTGCACCGGTGGGAAAACTATTTGGCTTCATCGATATTTTTATCCCTCGTATTATAAATGCGAAAGTCTGTCTGTTAAAAGGTATATAGATTTTTCTGTCATTCGATTATGATGCAATGTTTTAAAAAGATTACATACCTCTTTGTACTATATCAGTACGTTAACTCTCTATTTATATCGAGTTATTTAATTTTACTTTATAGTCACCATTACGTATATACTGAAAAAAAAACATTATTGTTTCTAAAAATAAAATACAGGCTGAACATAGTTTCTTAATGAACAGAAGGCCTATGCGATAACATTGTCTTTTGTTTTTAAATTTAAATGCGTAGAACGCACGTTTAACAATAAATAATGCAAATTGTACTCAATCAAGCATAAATATTTCTTCAGTGTATTTCACGGTTAATAATATTTACTATTTTAAATATTTATTGATTTAATCCTAAAGTAAAGGAACAAAACTACAGAGTTTTTTAATTTACTAGTTAGATTATTTGTTTAACTTCAGTTTTCTTATCAAGACAAATGAAGCTAAGCCAGTTAAGATAAACAATAATAATTAGTAATTACCAATAACAAGCTTTTCTATGCAAAATACTTAATAAAAGAATGCCTAAAACATATTTTTTGAAATTTTCACATATTGCAGAAGGTTTTTGCAAAAAAAGCTATAATAGGTAAACTTTACATATACATAGGGTAGCTGTAGCCGTGGTGTGCGCGTAGGGTACCTGTAGCCATAAAGCAATAAGTACGTCCGCATCCGTGGCCCGGTCCCATTGTGTCCATAGATAAGGCGACACGGCGCTACCGACTAAACTTATTTAGACGACACGCGTATATCTTGTACCAATACGTAACACTACTAGATTATGGAAAATTACCGTACCATGTAGTTTCTCTTATAAAGGGGTAGTAGTTTTGAACGGATATAAACTGTTCAGGTATTTACATACGTCAGCTGAGAAAAGGGTCCATTTGATTACGTTAATTATATTCACAGTGGAAACCAAACCTTCATGTACCTCTGTAGGCAATAAAATTCGAATATAAAATAATAAATAGTACCTTCAAGCTTATGTACGGACATTAACAAGAAAATTTAAATACATCGGAACAATCATCACCATCAAAAACTATAACAAAGTACCAAATAAAACATTAAATAAATTAAAATGTTCCAAAAATTATACAAATTACGTATTTTTCGATTAAAACACAACGATCGCTATAGATGATAAACAACGAAATAACAGAGGAACCCATTTAAATTTGTACTCGAGCACCGACTCATTTACATGTTATTCGGGCAACAAACCCTAGGGGACCGTATCAGCCATTTATGAGTTAAAAAGTATTAAAGAAAAGAAAACTCGATAGATATAAAAAGATATGTATAATAACAAGAGAAAGAAGCCGCGTGCAGGGAAACTGCTTGCGGCGAATAAGCCTCGCGGAAAGCGGTATTGTTCCGCGACTTTTAAAACGGAACAAAATGAACGAAGGGGAAGGAAATCGGATGAAAATATGAAAAGAATACACGTTATATACGTAAAAGTGAAACGAAACGTCGGAGATCGGGTCTCAGCCGCGGCGGTCCGCAAATATAATTTGCATAGTCAAGTAGCCCAACTTTTGTCTGCAGCGGATGTTCGCAACCATATTCGTTCGTTGCTTTTTAACCACACTCTCGTTCTGTATCGGCCCGGCTTTTTATTGCATTTTTTCCCCTTTGAACGGATTCCTTCAATATTTTGGTGGTTCGTTTTTATTCATACGCTCGGTCATCGAATTGTTTCGCTTCATATCACACAGCTTTGTTATGTTCCTTTAATCGTCGTGTCTTGTTCTGTGTTTGTTACTCTATCAATTTTGGAAGATGTTGCTCATTCATCTGATGATTTATCCTCCAATGTATGATTGAACTTTTTAGAGCATTCAGTTTGTGAACATCTATTGATTCTTTAGGTCTTCACAAATTGAATTCGAATTCAATTCGAACAAAAGAAGTATTAACATAATAATAATATCATCGATCGTGAATGCATACTATTAAAAGTGGTCCTATCACAGACTACAAAGGCGGCTATAAAAGATTAAAACTTTTTATTTGGCTAGCGTCAAATGAAATAATCGATTGAGGAATTATTACGATTCATCGTTGTGGTGGTGAGAGGAAGCAATAGGCCGGATTACGGAGCACAAAGCGGTGCCGACGAGCTATAGACAAATATTGACTTGTAGAAACAATGAACGCAGACGGCGCTTCTGCCGCTAGGCTGTGCGTAGGAAGGAATTGATTGACGGTTCATTTTCGGTTGCTCATATCAGCGATTAAGATATGAACAGGCAATGACTAACTTAAATATAGACCTGACAAAGGAAGGAAAAGGTTTGACCGTTGGCTAATTAATAAAACGTTTACGCGTTAATAGACACAAAAAGTGAGATGAAAAGATCCTAAAATAAGCTCCAGTCGAGTGCAAAGCTGTTTTTCAGAGGTGTTAAAGAGAATCGATACTCGGACTCGATGGTCCGACGAATTTTCCACTGAACGGATCTTTGGACGTAGACCTTTGTATTGACGAGAAATTAACGTACGGACCTTTCCATCCTAATTTTGTTAACAAAGTAATTATGTACGGTCGTGTAAATAATATACCTTTTGACATTGTGGTTAACGTGGCTGACCGTAATGAAGTTGCTAAACAAACAACGAGTGAAGCTGCAAAAATGTATAGAGAAATGAATATCTGATTAAATGGAGATCCTAATTTAATATGTAATGACTCTGTTGTAAGAATGCGAATGGAAATAAAAACGAACTTTCCAATCCGCACGTTATTACTGGCTCGTGTCGGAGGTCGTACGATGACAAATGATGCGTAGGAGTCGATCGCTAGTGAACCTCGCCCGTTTCATTAGCAGCAACATTAATTACTAGCAAATCTTTAATGAGAAAACGAACTTTCGTTTTATTTTCATTCCTTGATACTTATTCTAGAGTTGTTAAAGTTGTAGGTACAATAGTTATTTTAGATATTTAATGACATCGTTGCAAGGACAAAACAATATCCGAAATGTTTGAACTCATAATTATGAAACAGCTTTCTAAGACCAAGGCGAATGCATGCATTCGTCAAATGACACAACGAAGCCTTACGCAATCTACCTCTATAGTGCTTAGTGCATGTTATTAAGTTAAAATATTTGCTATGTCTCTATTTCTATAAGTAACCACAATGTTCTGATTCTAAGCACTCAAATCTCGTTCCAACACCCTATTGGAGCGACTGGAAGGCGTGTCTTATTTTTATTAGTTTATTATTCATACCGTCTCCATAACACGAGTTATCCGCATCTTGGTCGCCGCTCGACTCCATCAAAAGTCTATCTTTTGCCATCAACCCAGTCCAACGAGTTACCTCATGGTGCAAGTAACAAGATCAAGAAGTTTACAATATTGACAGACATTAATTTTATTAGTGGTCAGATCTTAGAATAATCCTTGATTACTAACTATTTTTTTGACTTTGTTGACACTGACAAATTCACTATACTTTACACTTACATTACACTTATATAGTAAAACTCTCATTTAAGCAAATGAGGCATTAAAATCGAATCGTTGTAATTTAATTGGCATTCGATTAAATAAAGAAAATAACTTTTACGATCAGTTTATGGTTTAGCCCGTAGTCCGTACCGCCCCTCAGCCCTGTCGGAGGCTGGGCCTCCAGCGTCTATCAACACGTGTACCGACTCAATCATTCGTCAATCGAACTTCAGAGCGAAGAAGACGTAAATATCATTGCTACATAAGTTAGAGGGAGAATGCTCATCGATGCGAGCCCGATCGCGCGATTATTGACGAAGAAATGCCCCAAACGTAAGGTGGTTATTGCAGGTGAATTAAGGAATCTTTAAGTTTTCTGATAAAGATCGGTATGTAGTGATGTAAGAGTAAAAGAGACAGATGTAATTTTACTTGGAGGTGGATTTATACGTAGGTATGTGGATACAGGTGGAGAGAAGTATGGCGCACGACGCATACGCAAAACCGTTTATTTAGTCGCAGTTTTGTTTTGCTCCGCGTGCGGTATTCCAAGTAATTGTTGTTTCGATACGGTACAACTGGGCTGGATATTACATTATTATTGATGTACATACGATGTTCTTCAAATAACTTTATATGTGAATACAAAAATAATCGTAGATCCAACTTAACTAATGTAAATTTTGTTTTAACAGTGATGTACCAAAAACGGCTAAAGAAGGAGAGGAAACAGCGGCAAATGATACAGGAGCAGCTTGAACTGGAACTCAAAAGACGACAGAAAGTAGAAGAAGCTCTCAAGCAATCTGGAGCACCCTCTGAAATTCTCAGAATCGTAACTGGTAAATATAATATTAATCATCATGCCTTCAAAATATCTATGTATTGTATTGGAAACAAGTAATACCGCCAATGAAACCGTAAGACGTTACCTAGTTTAAACATGTCAAATTGTCAATACCATCTCTATCAACAAGTTTCAACATGTGTTAGTGCCCCTGACATGTTAACTTGCCGTCTGTCAAACTATCTGTATGTTAGCGAAAATTTCACCTAATATACTAATGTGCCATACAAGATACATAGAACATTGAGCTCTATGCGGGGTAGTTAAGATTAACATTCGATTGTTGATGGGGATGATTTGTGACGTATTGACGTTGAATGTGTGTCGAGTGCGTGATGTAAGAAGGGTGGGTGAACGTTGGTGATGGCTTGTACTAATCTCCGTGTCAGGAAATCGTTTCGCAGACCATTTGAAACGAGGGTTCTGAACTAACACGCATTCGAGTTGATTTTGTTGCATAATCGTTGTTTGCTACATTTATTGGCTGTCTGTTCGACTTGATTGAATGAGTACTGTAAATCTTCTGTCGGTATTAATTTGTAGAGGTACTACATGGTAAAGATATCTGCAATTAAGTCTCTTTACTAGTATTTCTTACTTTGACCTAATGACCTCTATATCGTGACCTTGTTTCACAGAGAACCTAACCCCGTCATCGCAAGAGACGCCGCGTTCTGAGAGGGAGAACGGCTCGGAGCGGGAGAGCAAGCCTCCAAGCGCTGAGCCTCCGTCAGCCTCACCACCCTTCCAGAGGGAACCTCCCCGTACACCGGACAAGCCGCAATGGAACTACCCACCACCTCCTGTTGACATCATGAGCGGCGGAGCTGCCTTCTGGCAGAATTACTCTGGTAAGCATCAACAGAAAAGGTGTTCAGAAAATTGTAGCTATCACTCCGTATGGCACTGACTTCATCACGCTGCAAGATTACCATACCTTTTATCCTAAATACTTACTGCTGTAGCAAGTAATTGCAGCAATCCAAAAATCAAAAGCACACCCCATTTTCTGTATTTCTCTTTTTAACTCTCAGACATAATTGCGATGTTAATTTCGCAATAATCAGGAAATTATCGAATGGAAATGTTAATAAGACCACGTTATTGAATTCTCCGGGACGGACGACTACGTTGAGGATGTTATGGTTTTCGAATGTAAGGGTCCATTCGAGATGAAAAAATTTCCAACGAAATGAAATTTATACTCATCATATTGCATAGCTTTCGTATCGGGAATGTCAAGTATTTAAAAGTACAGCGATATGGGAGCTCTCTCGGTTTGTATTGTGATTTTTGGGGGCGCGTTTTATGAACGAATTCTATACACATGTCGGTTTGTTATAGCTAAACATGTGATATATGGATCAAGTGAGACACGATTATTGAAATATTTTTGTAAAATGATTTTCATATCTTCGAATTTTCGTACTTTGTCACAGACGATGTTGGAGCAATTGAGATTTTTAAAAGTAATTTTATTGTTATAATCAGTAAAATCTAGATCAAGCTTAATCACTTTTTTAAACTCTTTTCCCTGACGATAAGATACTAAATAAGAACCACCAAATAACTGGCAGCAGCATCATAAACTCGAACTGATTATAACGCCAATTCATTACTGTTGTGCAAAACAAAAAACTGTTCTCCACAAAAACCACTTTTATTTGATTCACAAAAAATGCATCGCGCTCAACTTTGATGAAATAAGAAAGAAAAATCTGGTGCTCGTATCGGTGAATCAAACCGTGGTTTTTTTCATTTATATCCGCTTTGTGGAAAGCCCAAAAATTTCATTAAAAATGCACCGACGTACTGCATGGCATGCCCAAAGTAGTGACGCGCCCTTGCTTCCGAACTTGTATGATATACGCCCGAACATTTAATGCTGCGGGGTACCTTTGAAATCGAGTGTGGATGTCGTTTAAACTGTAACTACGGGATTGTTGCAGAATAATGCGAATGGTTTAAACTGTCTAACACACTATTTTAGACTAAATGAATACTAATTAGCGGTGAGGGAGATAATTGTGAAACTCTCATCACTCATAAAAAGAGATTTAACTTTTCACTTTTCTTAATATTAAAGGTTTTGACTCACAACTTTATTCTTAAAAATCTCGTCTTAAAGACAAAGAGTACAACACACAAGTGACACTCAATATATTTCAGATACGAACCAATTTCTCATTATTCCTTCCCCCACGTACTAAATTAACTTTAGGGTGCGACTAGGTGTTTACAATTGGCAAAACATTGATACGAATTTAACCATTTCCCTTGTTCCGTCGAGTGCCTCTTGCCGACAGTCTGTTCGAGTAGAAATTGCAACTAATTTAAGTGTTACGCTACCCCGAGTACTCCAACGCACGCAAGCACGCAATACCAATTGTTTGAATCGGAATCGCTTTAAATATTAGCATTTGTATAAGCAGTCTTTAAGAAATTTAATCAGTTTCACATTTTATTTATTAAATCAAAAAGATGATAAAGAAAGTTTACTTAAAAGTATACATTCAAGAAGAGGTAAGTAAAAAGCTATAAAAGTGAAACAGAAAAATACAAGAGGGTTGTAAATATAAAAAGGTTGGTAACAGAAAAACAAAAATTAAAACTTGGAGCCTTTCATCAACTTTCCTCAGTGCCTTCGGTAAAAGAAAAAAACATATTTTATTATTCGTAAATTAGAAAACTTTTTTCTACGTGCTTTTCATAAGACGGGATGAGTCGAAAGTGTACCGAGTAATTATCTTCTCTAGAGGTACGCGACTGTAGACGTACTGGCGGTGCAGGTGAAATGAGTTACATGAAAATTACGAAAATGACAATAATTCTAACGTAGAAACGTGGACAGGCAATCAATCACGACAATGTTTTATTATAAACATCATTATATTGATTGATACAGAAGTACCTTTAGAAGATGCTCATAAATTCCCATTAGATACACACAATACTAATTTACTTTGTAAAAATGACATTATTATTTATTATAATTCTAATATAAAGTTACGTGTATCAAGATATTTTAATAGAACAATGTTTATGCTGTTATTAGAGCTGCGCTTGTAAAACGGATAAACCATCCGATGTTACATAAGTAATATAAAGTTGAAAAATTAATAAAGAGGAAACTTCTCCATGCTACTTTTTAGGTGAGCTTGTAAAATGAATGGAAATAAAATTGTACCGCACAGGTGCGCTCGAAACCTTTGACGATATTAACTTTTTTATTTAGTCTTAGTAATCACTTGCGTCATTGTGTTCACCGTTTTATATAGACAACTTATTGTATTATTATGATAACGTTGACCGGACGCGCAACTAAATACATATAACATTACCGACAATGATAAAGATTTTAACCGAACTAAACCCGAGTCACGGTGGAATTGATTCTGTGTATAAAAAGTCAAAAGAATTTCTTTAATAGAAAATCAATCCAATCAGAACAATTGGTCGCGGTCCAGTAGGGAACACAACGCCACGCTAATCTAAGAGGGCGATGCTTCAATAATTGTCAAAAATACGCGGGAGCTGTCGCACTTAGATAATTAAATGCAGTTTTTTCTTAATGAAAGATTGTTTTCCCATTGACGTAATTACGTCAATAGCTACTTTGATGTGTTATATTATAACACATCAAAAGTAGCTGCCTGCTATGGTTACTTTTTGTTAATGGTGCTTTTATTCGAAATGAAGGTTACTAAGACGATGTCCTCAGAATTTTATCAACGGTGTGCCGTCACACGTCACACACTGGGTTCACTTCGACCTGCGTGTAAACAGTTGGCCGCCGTTGTGGCCCATCTATAGTTTCCCTTCACAATCATCCGTTTAACCAACCCTTTGTTCACAACCTTCTCAAATTTCCAACGAAGTCACTTTTTCAATCAACTCACTTTTTTTTCTGTATTTTTACGGCAGTAATTAATTTCGCTTTAACAACGAGACGAGGTGTCGATTGCTTTAAAAATTGTTAAAAATAATGAGCAGACGTACTTTCTATTATTTCTACAAAGATATTAGATGTCATGAAAGTACATCTTTTGGAAAATTATTTAAAATTTATAATAACATCGTTATTTATGAAAATTAAGATTCCTGATCAAGTGGCACCAAAATCATTATTTATTCGCTTGAGTCCCGTAAAAAATAAATCGATTCGTTACTTGACGAGTAATCGATGAGTTTGTGTTGATTCGTTTTTTGTCGTATTTTGCAATTTGACAATCACAGAATTGGTAGCATACCTAATGTTTAACAATCCGTGTCTGAATCAACGACTGACACCTTATTTTACGCAAACTTAGCAATTTATGGTAATGATACTTTTAGTCCGATTAATCGGTTAGGCATCAATAAATAAATTAGATTTCTACTGTAACGATGAACTACTTTGTTTGTTTTATGGGTAGATATTAGATATCCAGTTTTCTTCAGTTGTATAAATACTCATTTTTATGTATTTACGGATAATCATAATTACTAGATGCAGCATGAGGCAATATTTTACCGACATCCACAATTTGATTCTAATTAACGTTCTACTGATTAGAATCTATTTCTAGATATCTAACACTGATTAACGGTTAAAAACATTAGTTCCAGTCACAGCTTGGATCCTATTAATAAATGCTTGAGTGAAACTGTTCCACATAAAGTTTATTGCTTTACTTACAATTGTTGTAACAAAAAACTATTTATTCTCACTATCGATCAGTGGTTTTGTCGTTTTATTTCTCTTACTTTTCAAATAGATCGGTTCACGTCCACCTTGTGAAGTCCCTTTTTGTCATTCCTTGACCATTCGATCAAAACGAAATAAGAAATGTTTCTTGTACAAGTTTTTATCTATTAACAACACTCCGTGAAAGTTAATGTCACTGTTGATTGGTCTCTAAAACATTTCACAATGTAATGTCGAATATACTTTCATCATTTTGAGACAGGAGAAAGAAAAACAAACATTAAAGGATAACTTTTATTAAGCTAAGCGCTCAACCATTACAGTTGTTTCAAAGAACAAATAGATTATAGCTCTCAAAGGAACCGGCAATTCTGTTTTAGAAGCGGCAAATGCAAAAATATTACGTATTCAAACAGACCTAATGGGACATTTAGGGGTGGCAGCGAAGTGAAACGGCAAAGGCCGAAGCTTTTAAGTGTATAATATTTAATTGTGACGCCCTAGGCGTATAATCTCGCCCGAGATAATAGGTTTCTGTTTCGGGACAACCCTCGATGGTGACACTTGTGAGTGTGATGCCCTTAGGCAAGACAACACTGAAACAAATCGGATCATAATCAAGTTTTTCCAACTGACGAATGTTTGTCAAATAGTTTCTTTGATTTAAAATTCACAGCGCCCAACGCGGACCAATTTAAATTTAAATTATATTTTGGTTTAGGGATGTTAATATTTTTGGGAAGTGCAAAAATTGGTGTTGGATATAAATTCGAAACTCGGAGCATAAATTGTAAACGAATGTCGGGAAGAGAAATTCAATTCCCCGTTGAGAAAATGCTCCATCAAAGTAAGCAAAAAACGCGATTCCGTTTATATCTTTTATATCTCGTAAATTGCAGGAGGCGGCAAGCGTTGCATGAAATTGAATAAGCATATTTCGTAAAACGTCGACGTTTTCGGAGACAATTGCCTTACCTCACCTACTCTTTGCCTCTTCACGAACTTTGTCAATTTTCGTGGAATCTTATTAGAGGATGTCCTGTGCTTGAGACGTGTTTCATTTTTTATACCTTAATTTGTTGCGACGTCTCGTATCTCGTATAGCTTTGACAGACTTTGTTCTTATAATTTTGTTTTGTACCTGTTTGTAATATATTGGTACTATAAACTTAATATTAAAACAAAGAAATTGATACTTTACACAATTATAAAACTCAATGATACCCTTTCCATGTAGATAGGTACATATCTTGAAAATTGAACCACCAATGTACCAATAATATACATAGAACTCAAGAGACAGATTCATAATTTCCATTTAATAACATCGTTACATTTGCAACGAATATTACACGAACAGCCGTACTCTGTTCGTTCGAATAACCCTTGTACGAGAAATTTAATAACACTCGCTGAACGTGAGTGCTACGTTTTTAACAAAGGCAATATCGAATATTAAATTAGAATGTGCCATACGGATGTGAAGTCCGTTTGATGTGAGTCGGCTTTCCCCGAAACACTAATGACATTTTACGGAGCGACACACGTGTAACTATATGTATATTGTACTCTCCACATGATTCCCCTTTATAATGTTACCCTCTGTAATTGTTTTAATTTTAACACTGTCAATAAGTACCAATCCATCGATGTAGTTTTTTAAATAAATCTTTTTATTTAATATCATTTTCTCTTTCCCAACAGAAACTCTGGCGCAAGAGTTAGAGATGGAGCGCAAATCCCGCCAGCAAGCGATGGAGCGTGACGTGAAGAGCCCGCTCTCGGACCGTGCCGCCTACTACAAGAACTCAGTGCTATTTAGTTCAGCCACTTAGCTATCAAACTCCGGGGCTAACGACTACCCCGACAATCAAGAATACGACAAAGAAATCGACGAATCGAGAAAACCAATGATCAGCGTCAAACCCGAGTTTCGGGAGAAATAAATCCAAATATTCGTGATTGGTGAATGAACTATCAGTGGTATCGCGTTCCGATCGATAGCACTATTGTCAATACGAACTCAAAGATAAATACTTCCAAATATCTTAGTAACCCATCAAACTGTTCATCTGATTGTTTATTCGACTAAAGTTTTTGGCATAAACGATCTCAATGAAGTTGTAACTACTTCTTGTTATTGAGATTAATCTGTAAATATTGTTATTGAATTCGAAGTAAGTTGTAGATTTCGTGGTGTTAATACGAAGTCTCATGAACTCTTCTTCCATAGAAAAATTTGTAAATATCCCTTTATAATTATTATTAGAGTAAGTCAGTACGGTTTTATCGACGATCCGAATAATTTATTCGTCAATATTTTAATCTTTTATGAAGAGTACCTTTAACTTATCGTTAAATGCCATATTTATATATTAAGTATCCATTGTTATTTGCCTTTGTAAATCTGGTATTATGTTCGTTTGTATCTGTACCTACATACATATCATAAGCTTTGACATCACATTCAAATGTTCAGTGGTCTGTTGAGACAATTGTTGGAATTGATCTAAGACTGTTTTTCAAGAGTTTTCTAAAATGTTTGTCACTAGTCTTGCAATTTCTGTAAACGATGGGTGTTTTAGTTCCTATGGTGTTTATTTTAAAGGCCATTATGATAAAGTAACCACAGCGAAGCATTGAATAGTAGGTACACGTTTGTTTCTCCCACGATTTTTTTACTTTCAATAGTAAATAATTGTGATCTTCACTCTCATGTAATTTATTCAATTTTAGTGCAATGATTAGATTTAACTGATACTAGTGTATTTCATAAATCATAAAAGTGTACGATAGATACGTTAAGTTAGTGGTTTTGAATGGATACGTTTTTACAATTCAATATTATTGACTGAGAACAGAAGAGACAGTGTTTACGTACAATATAACCTAAGTGTTTTCTTTAAACTTCATAAACTAGAAGATGTATAAATAATTATAATCGCTATATCTCATATCCATTACGCAGAGTCGATGTATATGGGTAGTTAACGTAACAATAAGTTCAGTAGTTTAACATAAAGTATAAAATGATAGTGTTATTTATATTGATGCTTAGTTTATGACACTTTGGATGTCTTAATAGCTTAAAGTAAGTCTTAGAGATTGTATCGGGCGTACATTGGCGCTTGGCTATTGGGCAACTTGTGATTGAGACACTAATAAATGTTATTGTGGAACAAATTGCGCTGTTAAAGTACTCCTTTCGCCTTTTGAGAATGTCGGGAAAGACGATATTGGTGAATAGTCAAGTGCCGAAGCAAACAATCGCTTAATACAAGTAATTACATATTATCTGTAAAAGATAATACGACGTAATGAATAAATTAGTTGTTACTATAAATGTTTAGCTGAACATGTGTGATTGTGTAAAGGGCGTGAATGTGGTACTTATGTATCAGTTATTTTGATTTCATTACAATAGAATGTCAGTACTGGTGGGACCCAAACCTAGATACGGGTGTTGGCAATGCCAGTACTGTCATTAGAAATAGTTATGTTCTTCGTCAGTTAGATGTTGAGGCTTCTCAATGTACCTATTTTATATTTCGGTAATAGTATGCAGTTCTGAAAGCAAGTGTAACTATTTATTATTTCTATTATAATATTATTACGATTAATTTACTTAAAATTGTGTGTGTGCCTTGTATCGTAGATGAAAATATCAAGATTAAAAGGGAAAATTATCAGATTGTGTTTTGTTTCCTACAACCTCTACCTTACCCACATCTTATACTACACAGTTAAACAAATAAATATAGCTATTCGTGAGAATTTTGAAAAAGAAAACGCAACACGGCGACTAAGGCGCTGCAATAGTAGCAGCGCGACAGTCATATCGCGTGTCGCGGAATGCTCATGAATATGAGCCTTTAGCATGGCTTGAAACTAGTCGAGTTCCTCGTCAAAGAGTAAATTGAGTAAGTTGAAAACATCATAATTAATTTAGTATGTCTCACGAAAGTTTTAGTATAAACAACGAAAAAAAAAAATACTATGAATAAAATGAGACCCACCCCAAATAATTAATTAAATATTTTCTTTACGTGTTGGTGTATCTGTGATAGAAAATTTGCAATACATAATATCTACCTTGACTGGCTTGACTTGGGCTGGTAACCACTGTTGACTGTCTCTGACTAATGTGTAGTCCTTTAATCCGCCCATAGGACATTAACATACGATAGAATTAATTCTTTTTTTTTAAACAAACGTCGCCTCACACTATAATTTTCTCATATATAGTGGGTGCGTTTACAAACATACAAGTTCACTTTACACTCAGAGCTGGAACAACAATCTGTGGATCATGCGAAGAATTGATCCGTGCGGGAATCGCACCCGTGACACGTTGCGCGGCAGCCAGTTGCCCAGCCACCGCACCAACTGTGCAGTCAAATCATGGAAATTAATTAATTTAAACAAATTTGATTGACTGCAAAGTTCCGTTGTCACTCGTCGACCTGTCTGCTGTGCTGGATCGATTCCCGTAACCAGAAATTGTTATTTATTAATTAAAATCTCTGTGTAGTCACATAAAAGGTCACATAAAAAGTACAACTTAAAATTGAGTAGCCTTTCAGTATTCGGGCGTAAGAGTTTCAAACGCTCTCTAACAACAAAAAATACATAAATAAATATGAATTCATTCATAGTTTATCTATCTCACTAAGTCGCAATTAAATTAGCCAATAATCTTCGCGCACAACGTTTTGAAATCAGTGAGTTGGTAACTACGAATAGTAATTTGATGAAGAAACTTAATCAGGATTGCTAAGAAATCTACAGATTCAAGTGATCATCGTGTTCAGATTCAAGTCATCTGATTTAGTTGACCAATCTCTCATCTCGACACCTACTTAGCAATAAGAAACTTTTAGATACATTCCCTTCGTTTAATAACATGAGGGTTCGATTTCTGTATAGAAAAAATAGTATGCTCAGAATAAGTATGTGAGAAATAAAGAAATCAAACAAAATAGGATCAGGAGAATAGAAACGGTGAACACCGTAGATATTAAATTATCATTATTACTACTGCGTCATATATTGTTTAAGTTCAGTAAAACCTATGCATAATACCAAGATAAAAACCAATCTAATTATTCTAGAATTCAGTTGAGTGGCTCTGGTCTGGCTCTACGAATCCACTACTTCTCGCACCAGTGCCTTTAGCCAAACGCCACTTTGGCGCTTGTCTACAGAGAGAGTAGAAATTAAAATGTATGGGGATGACACTGACAATTTAAAAATTTACCTCAATTCCATATATTTTTTATTGCCATATATTCCATTTGGTTTTCTATTCTACATGTAGACAAGCGCTAAATGGCATTTGGCTACAGCTGCTGATGTGCCACCAACTATAAAATTTAAACCAAAATAAACACTATGTCATTCAGGATACTCAACATTTTTAGTTTAGTTTCGTTTGAATGACTAAAGCCAAGCGGTTTTAACTCAATATAAAATACGACATAATTAGCCAATAGAACCGAAGCAATCGAAGAACGTCATCGTAAACATGAAAAGTCGTAAGAAGTCCTCAATTTAATATTAGAGTTCAGTCGTCCATCGCCATTTTAAATCCTGTGAAATCGGAAAAGTTCATATTTATTGCTAATAGATTTTCGGCCGATGAACACTGGGTTATTTGGGATGCAATTTTATTTTGTCCATATGAATGATTTTTATATTTGGCCTCAGGGGTGGCGAGCCAGGCCCCTTACCGATTTCGATTTCGGACATCATGCAATGGTTGGCCCCTTCCAGTTTGGGAAAATATTTTCGAAATCAACTTCGTTGGTTGGTTTCACTCGGCAATATAAATTTTAAAGGGAAAATTTGATATTATGGACGATTGAGATGAACCTTTTTGAAATATTTTTGTTTTTAATGATTTAGTACATAGGTACTGTATGTACATGTCGTGGTGACCTGGAGGTTTAAGACGTCCGCTTCTCATCCATGAGAGTGCGGGTTCGAAACCTACCAACGGCAAGTACCAATATGAGTTTTTCAGAATTATATGTACTTTCTAAGATTATTTAGACACCACGGACAAACGGTGAAGGAAAACATTGTAGGAAAGCCTGGGCTTATAATTTCTAAATATAAGTTAGAAATCGTCAACCCACATTAAGCAAGTGTAGTGATTAATGAGAGAGTAGAAGGTTTGAGCCTTCTCCGTGTGAGACGAGGTTTTTGGTCATGATGATAATAATGATGACATAAGTACTTATACCCAAAAATTAACGAAAATGTGTTGTGTTTTCATTAATGCACGTAGGTATATATGACAGGATTGTATGCCTACCTCAAAGTATACGAAGAGTCAAAGTACCTTGAGATACTGTAATAGGTACATATTATTATTATTTTTTAACTTTATTGTTTTATATTTTTTCTGTAAACCATTACAAATAAAACTTATAGGTCACATATAACACGAACAACTATTAAAGTGCATAATATCACCTGTAAACTTAATTAATTTATGTAAATAAACCTCGTAATGATAGTTATATAGACGTGTGACACTGACACTATTAAAGGCAGTAAATTGGATAGTTTTAATGCAGGATAATAGTACGACTTTAATAGTAAGATAAATTGTCTGATAACTGTTACATGTAGGTATGTATTAACATCAGGGCTGATGCCGATACGGAACCGCGGAAGACTTAACGGGTTGCCGGGGCTCCGGCTCGAAGTGCTGGAGTAGGAACGGGGTGGTTTTTAGTCAGTATGAGTCTGACACTCCCTCTCGCTTCACCCGGGCGGGAGAAGTCATTGGATGATTTTCCCCCCTTAACTCGTCGAGTACCGTATTTATAGACACAATTAAAGAACAATTAAATACGTTTCGGTCACCGGTGACCGCTTGGTGTTTGACAGTTTAAAAAACCCGGGAAATACGAAAAAATAATAACTATTTCTATTCGCTCCATTACTTAATTGCCCCATGTAGTTATTGTTATGTTGGTGGATTGGTAAGACCACCCCGTTCCTTCTCCTACGCTTTGAGCCGGAGCCCCGGTAACCCGTTAGGTTCTCCGCGACGTATTTCCCGGGTTGAGCGAAAATATTTAAGAAACGTTCTGAAAACTATCGCCATGATTTCTTTCATTCTTTTAATTTTTTTCTTAAATCAATCTTGAACGTGTTTTCAGACAGATGGGACTCACAAGCGTCTTGACAATGATCTCTTAATTTTAATTAAATCAATACTAATATTAGACTAAGTTGTACTTCTACTAACCCATATAGATGTTTATCTAAAATAGATAATTTGAATTCGAATTAATATCCTCAAGCACCCTTCTCTCCAAAGTCGGGAAATTCAGTGACGTTGCATTGTACACTTATCTCAAGTCTGAAAACTCAGTTATTGAAGACGTCTTTATTATTTAACAATGTTCAATTATTTTACTAGAAATACAAGAAAATAGATATACAATGTACAACTTAAAATAAACTATAACTGGCAAAGAAAATAAAATAAAAGAAAACTAATATAAATGCTAACTTACACTTTCTTCATATTCTTTAGAAAGTGTATATAGTTATGCATGTCGTTAAAACCTAGTAATATCTTACTACCTATAGCTAAAGCTATGACAGTTATAACTGTCAAGTCATAAAATGTTGACAAACATTTTTTTTTATTTAATAGTAGACCTCGTTGACATTCGATGCACCAATAAAGGTGCCTTGTAGTTGAAGAGTTGATGAATACCATCACTTAGGTACTTAAAACAATTTGTTAACAATAAATTGTCTTCATAATGTCAAGTCACATACAGGCATAAAATAAACAAGTTTGTATAATATATAATACTGGCTTCTGCCTGCGGCTTCGATCGCGTTACCGTGGTGTAAAAGTAGCCTTGTCTCAATTCATATCATAATCTACCCTTGTTCCAAATTTCATCTCAATTTCTTTTGCCGTTTTGCCGTGAAAGAGTAACAAATATAGAGGTAGACACATACATATATCCTCACAAACTTGCGCATTTATAATTTTAGTATGGGTAGTATTGGTGACATTTAATTTTATTACTTTATCTTAAAACTACTTTTTTCTACTATTACAAATCATAAGAAAGGTAGTAAAGGTTGTTATAGACTAATAGAGGATATATGTATGGAGAATAAGAGGGAGGGAGGAAGAGAGAGAGTGGTTCTTCACTCTTGCTCTCCCTCTGTCTATTTTTAACGATTATAACTTAAAATTAAACCTTAGATACTCATTGAAGAAACCCGTTTATAATTAACAGTAATATAATATTAAATTAAGTATCTACTACAAAAAAAAAACATATAAAATAAAATTAAGTACTATGAAAAATCATTACTATTCCGTTAGATAAAATATTATATATTGTTATGTCACATTCATTAGTTGATTTCAGAAATATATCGGGCACAATACAATTTATTCATGGGAGATGCTTATTAATTTGCAAGGCAAACATCTGACATACTATCCATCAGGTGATCTGTTGCCTGTCCCATAAAACGTTAGAGTTTGTGATATTACTGACAATTCGTAATAAACCCAAAAATAACTTGTCCAACCCTAACCCGAGTTCGTCACATGTGTTTTGACCCCAATAAGACAGTCAAAGCATAATATAGGTATGTAATATAATATAATAATGTAATTAAAACACAATATCATATGTA